AAAAAAAAAAACACATCATAGTAAAACTAATACCTTCTCAGCTTCGCATCGAAGCTAAAATGTATTTAACTTATTATTATTGTAGAGTTTTATAAACTTAATAATTTTTCTTTTTACAAAAATTTTAATTTTTCAATAGTTTCTGAGAAAATAAGAGTCTTACTAGATTTCAATCACTGTATAGAAGGTAAAAGAAGTTAAATTACATTAGTAGTATTTACATTATTATTTTATGGACTTACTATGTTTAAATCCAATTCGTTTGTAACTTTCTGTTTTTTTGAAACGTTAAAAATTGAAAATAATTCCTGCCTTTTTTCAGTCATATTTTTAAAAGCATGAAAATAACAAATTTACACAAAGAAATAAATTACTTATTATTAGTACTAAATTATAAAACAAGAAACAGATGAAAGATAACATTTATCAAAGAAATTTCCAAAGAGTATTACTCTATCAAATTTTGTAATTAACTAGATTTTAATCAGTGCACATACTTGGTAGTTTGTTATCATTTGTTGGACCAGAGTTAAAAAAAATTTACCTACAACCACGTTCGGAGTAACTGCTATTCCATTTATTATTACGTCTAGAATGTAATATTCTTTTTCAAATAACATTTTCTATGAATATAAAAATGAAAATACAGCCATAATAATAACTGTATTACTCAATAGTAATCAAAAATTAATAATAATTTCAATGTATATAAGGCCTAGCACGTTTTTGATAATTTGTAAAAATAATTGAATTTTAAATTTGGGGGGGCCAGCCCTGGGCCACATTAATTCTAAGGGGGGCCAGGCCCACCCAGGCCCACCCATAGCTACGTGCCTGTTGTCGACCCTTATCCTAAACTTCCACTTGACATTATATTTATATAAGTACCTTAGTATTTGTACACATTTTTTACTTATACTTTGAACATAGAAGATGAGTTGCGATTCATTCCATTTTTAGTAAATTAAATAATTATTGCAGAAATATTTGAAAAAAAACCCAGCACAGTGAGGTCGTAGCATAGTTGGCTCCATCATAGATGATATCTGACATTGATTAAAATCACTATCATAAAAAACGCTTCGAAGCAAATCTGTACATAGTGTTTACTTTAAAAAAATGAATGGATTATTCCAAAAGCTACAGGATCTCCTATTTCATTATTTATATTCTGATTACAAGTTTTATGATTTAGAAGTGTAATATATGAATAAATATATATATATATATATAAATATATAAAGNAAAAAAGAATTTTTTTACAAAAATCGTACTTTTTTTATTAACTTTGGTGCCTGTTTTTACCATGAAAATTTTTTTTTAATAATAAAGTATATTACATTAGCTTTAATTTAAGATATATATATAAAAGTGTCAGTATTTCCAAAACACTTACAAAAGTTAAGTTGAAAAAGTTTTACTTTCTATATGCATTTTTAAGATTTAAACCCACCCTGTATTAAGGGAAATGGTCCGATTTAAAAAAAAAGTAAGTCGAATGTAATAGGAATATAAATATTATTTCTCATAAAAAAAATTGTATTGATCCATACATTTTACAAAAAGTTATAGCATTTTAAAGTTAAAAATGTAAAATATAAGAAAACACAAAAATAGCATATGGTAGCCTTTTTCACCATGAAGACAAAATAAAGTCCGAAATTTTTTTTTTCAATAATAAAGTATATTACATAAGCTTTAATTAAAGTATATATAAAAGTGTCAGTATTTCCGGAACACTTTAAAAAATTTATTTTTTGTGACAAAGTAGTCATTTTGAATCCATCCTTGTGGGCAGGTAAAGGGTCAAATTTATAAAAAAAATATATCAAATAATAGGTAAGGACATTATGCATCTATTAAAAAAAATTATATTGATTTTTTCAATTTTGAAAAAGTTATGGCAGTTTTAATTTAAAAAAATTTCGAAAATTAGCGATTTTTAAATTTGTAATTTGTTTGGAGATTTCCCCCATTTACGGGGAATGAGGAAAATTTTTTCAATTTTAGAAGGTAATGTCTTTGACTATATACGATTTGTAATCTTTTGACGTAACGTTGAAATAAATCGGTTCGGTGAGAGGTGAGAAAAAGTGGTAACAGACACAAAAAAAAAAAATAAATAAATAAAAGAAAACACATCATAGTAAAATGAAAGCTAATATTGTTATATTTTTCTAATATTAGATATGTATTATATAAATATTACAATATTATACTTTTCCGGTGATGAGAAACTACATGCTCACTTAATATGAACTACACACGAACACGTTTAAATTTTAAAAAATAAACTTGAACATTAACTCGGTTATTATTTTGTATGAACGTGAACGTTTTTCATTCGTTGACTGTAAAGTTTATTTTGTCTGACTACCATTTGAGGTTACATACAAATAAATATTTAAAATTTAAATCGATACTAGTTTTAAATTAATTTTTAAGAAATAATATTATATCTTAGTGTAATTAAATTCTAATAAGATCGTGGTTGGGCAGAAATGATATCTTACAAGATAATTTACAAATAATCATGGTCTTATTATAATAATCACTTGTTTTGCGGATTTCCCCACTTGTATTAAGTACTGTACATCATGCGCTGCTGAATAATACTCTATACTATTTTATGTCAATTTATATTTCATTATTTAAAAAATTGTTGTTCCTTTCAGATAAGATCGATAAAAATATTTCAGACTGTATTTATGT